AGATTATATAAATAAACCTATGAATAATAATTTATAACCTATCTAGCAAGTTATCGGATCCTTAAAAACCGGATGCCGGAGTAGTGGAGAAGCACGTAAGTACTGTTGTGAGTTTCTAAATCGGATCGGTAATTAACGTTTGCCGGACCGGAGCAATGGAGAAACGGCCTAAGGGATCCTCTGGAAAATATCACAAAATCTGGCTCGTAACTTGGGATTTTAGAATGATCATAATACGTGAGCAGTGTGGGACGTAGTGACAACGGTACGATAGGGAATGCTTTTCTATCTAGAACGAATTAATGAGAAGCCGGTAACAAGTAGGAAATCGTGGATAGTGAAATCGTATAGGCCTTGTCTTACGTGGACCAAATCCAAGACGTACTAGAGAAAAAGATATACAAAGCGACCGTGGATGATGAAGTGCAATCCAGGACGTACTAGTGGATGAAGCGAGAGACATGTCAACTACGTAGTTAGTGGAGATCAATGGTCTCTGCTCTCTTCGGGAAAATATAAATAAATAATCCTAGAAATTTTGTTCCTCATAAAAGTTATTATTAAATTAAATCTTATTTTTTTACGCTTCCGGAGTATTTAATTGATACATATAATGTTTTCAACGTGTGATAAGATTTGCATTTATAATGTAGATTGGTGTCAAGGGGAAAAATACAGTCTGAGATTGACCTAAGTCGTTTATATGGTCATGCTTAGGGTGAAAATTCATTAATTAATTCGCTTTACAACTCAGCTCGGACTGTTTTGGCGAGCTTGGCCGGAATGGGCTTTTTCCCGTGACTAGCACAAGGACGTCTCCTGCGAGACTCGGATCTCGGTTTGGGCCGTCGCGTCGCGGGGTGGTAAATCTTACGGTTGATTGTTGAACCAATAACAATGGTTTCCACTGCACCGGGTGTGTCCAGATTTCGAGGAGGCATTTGAAAATGGCCACTAGTAGGCAATAGGTATATCGGGTGGGGGTCTACTATTCACAAGGGATGAAGACTTTTATATATTATTACAAGATTTTTTTTTTACTCTGTTGGCCTTAAGGGCCTTTACAGCTCAGTTCGGGCTGTTTTGGCGAGCGTAGCTCGGCCTTAATGGGCAATTTTCCCACGACTAGCGGAAGGGCATCTCCTGTGAGACTCGAACCGCTGCCTGGGCCGTCGCGGGGTGGTCAATCGCCTGAAGGGCAGGACGGAAGCTCACTGGAGTGAGCGAAGTACGAAGTAATGGTCCTCGCCTTCCCCGGTGAAGGCGGTTTTTTACCCTTATCTGCAGCGGCTTTTAATTTGTCATTAGCTTTCGTGATTGGATCACAAGAACACTAAAATTAAGCCTGTTTATTATATTCGCGTATGTATTGTTTGGTGCTTTTTACAATAACACTAAAACTGGCGTTTACAAGCCATACACTGCCATCTAGTAATCGCATTCATTACTAATACACGTTGTTACACATTATATATACATATTTGTTACCTGTAAAAATTGCGCGCAATTTCTGGAACGTGATTAACTTACCCTGACATTACTGTATAAATGTCAAATGCAATTAAAAAAAAAAACTATTTCTTTGTTGTTTAAATTTGATCTGACGTGGTTTATTGTTAATATATATTGCTGTAATAATATACAATTAATTAATAATACAATTATTCAATAGTTAAATTCTTCGTATTGAGTAAATTAAATAAAAAGCGTTTGACGCATTGCGTATTAGACTGTTAATTGACATGTCACATATGTATTTAAGCGTAAGATTTAAAGCAGGAGCTCACTGGTTTTGTGGCTACCGATAAAAGTAGATGGTTCCGACTAAGAATACATAGAATTTCAAGCATTCCTCAAGGTAAATATACGATTTAATAAATCTAGGTATAAATAAATACTCCTCCATAAACAATATTTAACTATGAGTTATTTAAAGAATAGACAATTTTCTAAATCGAAGTTTATCATGAGATTTAAAATATATCTCTCTCTATTCTGTCATTGAATAATATCAGCGTATGTATCGCTGTCACTTAAGTTTTCGCGCGATCTGCTTTATGCGTTTCAGAGATCCGTTGATCAAACATCATTTAATTTATTCACGAATTTTACAAAACTACTAAAACCTAAAGCTATGTCACCTATAAGTTAGTCTATGATCTGTCTGTCAATAGTCTCACATCTCTTATCTTTATTTTAATCTTTGTTTTATTTATGTTTTTGTTTTTAATAAAATACGCATAATATAATATCCCACACAACTAATATATTTTTATTTTTACTGCTAGTAAAACTTTTGTTAAATTAAAAAAGTATGAAACAATAAAATACACAGATCGAAAAACTGCAATTAATACGGAACCCGTATATCATTCCCGAGACGTTCTTATCCAGTTTTTAATTTTGTATTCAAGATGCCATGCTATATAAATGAGGCATAGCATTTGCCACCCATTTAGTCCCGAGCGCTGATCCCATGTGTGCGCGCCTTAAGAAAAGTGTTCGATTTTTAAATTTGACACATTGTTTCGATTTGTGATTTCGGGGTTATCTGTGATATTAAGTGTAGGCTTTTTCTTAGTTATTTATTGTGACTTTAAAGTTTTCGCGCGTAAATTTTTGACGTGTAATTCGTAAGTATATTTTTTATTTCGTAATTAAACATAAGATAAAATAATAAATCTTGAATTAAAGCCATAATTTTTATGTCAAAAGATGCTATCTGCGACTTAAATTTATCTGTTTAACGCGAATATTCCCTTTGAAAATGAATCAAAATTCCTTTGACTATACATAAATGTTTTACGTCAATACACGACTGAATCGTTTTTCATGACATTTGGTAAGCTGAAAGACATATTTTATCCCTCATTTTATCACAAATTAAATTATTATTCTTAGATTAATTATACTTTTAATTTATTTTTTAATAAACATTCAAGACGTAATCAGACGAGGTGTCACGTAAGCAAATAGAATATAGTGAAAGTCGATAAAAAATTTATAATACGCTTATCTTATTTAAGGAAAATACCTTTGACCAGTCTTTGGCCAGCTAATATTATTTACTGTAAATTATAGTAGGTATAATAAAAAAATACCTTTGAATTTTAAATAAAACAGAGGCAAACGGCTGGAGGCTAATTTAATAACACCACCCATGGACACCAGGCTCGCGAGTACGTTGCTGGAATTTTAGAAGTCAGTTTCTATTTTCTTGATATTCTTCCTGGTATTTCGAAACTAAGGGAGTTTGGAAATACCAGGCAGCTGGTCCCACATAGCGCTCATCATAGCGTCATGCGCTCAGTTAGTCAGAAACGAAAATCATACGGATGGAAAAAAAAATATCTCTAAAGAACAAAATCTGTTAAGTAACCGGTATTATTCTATAAAGATTTACACAGCAATGTTTAATATTACTTGCTATAAAAAGCTTTAGCGTAACTTAAAATATTTTCTCTTGTAGACAATAGAGTTAGGTCCAGATTAACCTATTAGTTACCATAACTTATCTAGAATATATTACATCTGCATTCGTGTAATTCGTCACTTGACAGTTCGCTTGTACCTAAGACAATAAAAAAGTATACGCACGAAGGTCTTATTACTTCTGCTTCTACAATCTTCCGCTAGAGGACGCTTTGATGAAGTGACGGCTGTAATTACACCATCGCTTTTGGCGCGTGTAAAATTAGTAAAGCAGATCTTCATTTCAAGAAGAATACTGCTGGTTAAAGTAACTTAATGATTAATTAGACCCCGAGGGGCATTTTGGGCCTCGACAAGAGTCGGTGAACGCGAACGCCCGTTTCTTTCTAAGGCCAAAAGGCCAAATGTCAAATGTCAAGTACGAAAAGGCCAAAAGGCCAAACATCCAAAGGCGAAAGGGCTGAAAATGTCATTGTTTTAGTTTTTTATTCTCCTATATTTGTTGAGAAACTGTTTTTGTGGCTGGTTTTCCTATAGGATAGTTTTGAATGGCGCAGTTAATTATTTATAAGAAGTATCAAGGGACCTTGCTTTTATACGTAAATGCCAAAATAAATAAGACCTAGGTACATAAGCTTACTCAAGTTTATTGCGTCGTAGCCTCTACGAAGCTTTGTTATATAACTTGAATCTGAAATAAACATGCTTACGCGTCGAATCGATAAGCTCCTGTTTTTTTGAAATCGGTTAACTAGAAAACTTATTAACTAGAAAACTCTATCAGTTAATAATAAAACGACGATAATTTGAATAATTATGTATTTAAATGTTGGCGCCAAAATAATTATAAATGGCGCCACCGGTCTTTTATTGATTCCAATTCGTTATAACTAAAGCTAAGTGCACATTATCATTATTAACTAAAGAATTAGTAATAATTTAAAAAGATACCTACAAAAAAATTTTCACTTGTATCTCCCTTGTTTATGTTCTATAAAAAGACTTAGCACAGTCAAGAGGAAGCTCCATCTTTCTTTTTCTTCATGCTTTTCTTTAAGTTTTTTTTTCATAGCTCTTGACCACACCAATTACTTTGGCCCAATGTACACACACCCTTTTGTGTTCCGAGAAGGACTCTATGACGTCACTGGGCTGGTATTTCAAATATTTTGCCGCAAAAAATTGAACCGGTTTCGATACGGAAACGTAAAACTTAATTTAACTGCGTAGTAACTAACGTTTTTACGCGCGTATTTTCAGGGATTTAAACTGATAATATACACTTTTACATGTGGATTATGTCTAATTGGATTTATTCTTTGGAATTTAGTACATAAACAAAATATGTGTAAACAATGCTGAAGCGAAAACATTGAGTGTAATTAAGTGATCAAAATAGATACTTTCTAAATTCAAATCTAAATACAAAATTATGTCAAAAGACAAAGAGAAAGAAAAAAAACAAAATTCAACAATAACTTTCATAAGAAAGCCCATTTTTATTTTTAAAATAAAACCAAATAATATAATTTTTCATTATTATTTCAGATAAGTTATAGAATCTCAAAATGTATGCAGTTCTGCTATTCGCCGCTGCGGCGCTACTGAGCAATTCCCGCGCAGCTATCGTCAACAGACACATGAAGTTACTCGACATTAATAACAGTATTGAGACTAATAGTAAGTGTTTATTCTCCTAGCTTCGATTTTTACACCATTTCATCATTAAATATAGAAACTTTTTTGTGACTTAGATTATAAGTAAGAGCAGCCTTGCGATTCTTTAACTCACTTTTCGAACTCGCACAGCGGTTTTCACAGCGGCGGTCGCGTTTAAATCAGTCGTAAAGCAGTGAGTTACAGAATCGCAAGGCTGTAGTCTGTAAACTGTCTATGAATGTAGCATCCGTTCACGAGTATGACACATGGCCAGCCATCGGCCCCCTCGTCATATTTTAGGGAGAGAGACAACCCGATGCATGTATCTGTATCTTTTCCGTGATAAATTTTTGAAGTTATACTTCCTTAGGCGCGTTATGAAAAATTGATGAGAGTGAAATTTTACGATGCGCGCGCACCGTGAAACAAAATTAACAGAATGAAGTTGCCCACGGAAGACGCTACGGCATTGGACATTATTTAAAAACAACATTCGAATAATAATAGAATTTATGTTACACTTAATGTAAGAGAATAATAATAAATATTTTTTTATTTAATTTTTCAAATGTAAACTGAACTTTATTGACTATAATGACTCCTTTTCCAGTCTTTGATTATTTAATTGTAATTAATTATTTGCTTGCTATCAAAAACTATTTTTAATAATGTCAAAGAAGTATAACTTGATACGCGCGTACATAAGTACACGCACCCTTTTTTTCTAGGCCTCTGTGACATCATCATTGTTTTGATCAGATACGCCGCTTTCCTCTTTCCTTCACTGTACGAGCGAATTTGAATTGTGCCCAAAAGTCCATTGGTGCACAGCCGTGATGGGAATACACGACTTCTGAGTTGTGCTAGAAAAGTTGTGTTAATATTGATTTTTTACAATTTCGCGTAAATTATTGTTATATAAACGTCGAGCCACTCTCAACCCTGAGGTCGTACGTTCGAACCCGGCTGTGCACCAATGGACTTACTTTCTATGTGCGCATTTAATATTCGCTCAAACGATGAAGCAAAACATCATGAGCAAACAGTCTCGGTCCTTAGACCCAAAAAGTTGACGACGTGTGTCAGTCACAGGCCGATCACCGACTTGCCTATTAGATTGACAAATGATCATGAAACAGATACACAAATCTGAGGCCTGAAAAGGTTGTAGCGATTTTTTTATATAAAAGTTTTTGTATAAAAAATTTAATGTAACAGAAATAAACTATAACCATACTTATTGCAGCAAAGCCATCAGCTCATCAGACCAAACGTTTCATTACGATTACTAAGCGGCCGGCGTCTCGCAGCGCGCACGTAGCGGGCGCAACTCTGGAGCTGACTTGCGAAGCGATCGCTGCACCAGCGCCATCTGTACATTGGTTTAAGAACGATGCTCCCGTGTATGAGGTGAGTCAGTTACCAGCATTATGAGCTCACGCCACATATACACGTACATATTCTCACTTTCACGCCATCACACAACACAGCCGAATTAGGTATTACGCACTATATATTAAGCATATCGCAACATACCTTTAGTATGTTTTTTTTAAATATATAATTTATGTTAGCTGTTGTTGTAGTAGGTAGTTGTTTTTTGTCCCTTTCATTCACGACTACAAGTAAGCCTCAATGTTTGATATTTTGATATTTGGGTCTTAGGTGTGCTTGGGCTGGGCTCGCAAAGTTTTGTCTTGAAAGAGAAAGAAAATCCTCAACGAAGTGTTCGAAAAGGAGAATCACTTTACCACTAGGCTAACACTACTTAATTATTTATTAATTAATAATAATAATAATAATAAAAGCTTTACAATTAAATACATGCATTTATATTTCTATCATCTCATTAATTTCTATACATCTGTGTGCACTTTTTTGGCAAAGGCCTCCTTTAAATCTGCACTGTGCCAGTCTCTGCCATGTACACCTGCTATATCCTGAATCAGGTTGATCAGCCATTGGGCACCAGTATAATACTTTCTTGCTTTACTTTTCTGTTCCTCTTTGCCACGTCCCGCCAATTCCCAGGAATGTTTATTTATTTTCATTGCTACCTTAGTTATTCTCTTTAATTATATATTATTTCTTCTTATGTAAAAATTCAAAATTCAAAAATCATTTATTCACGTAGGTAACACAATGTACACTTGTGATTCGTCATTAAAGAAATAAATATTCATGTTCTAATTTTACTTTACTGCCAGTTCTCAAATCAAGGGCTAGAACGGAAGAGAAGAACTGGCAATAAACTCTCCGCCATCTCTTTTAATCGCCATGTTTTTTTTTTTTTTTACACAACGTTTGTAAGGAGCTGCAACCATTACACCATGTTCCACATGACATTTTAAGTAATTAATAATAATAACATAAATAAAAACAAAGACTTGTCCCCTATCAGCAGGAGGCATGGTGAAATAGGAGCACGCACTTACATTCTCGTGGGAACAACACGCAAACACATAGTCGAAATAATTAACATCACCGCATACACGAATTCAAGTACGAACAGTCACCACAAGTAACACCCGTTCACGAGTATGACGCATGGCCAGCCATCGGCCCCCTCGCCATATTTTAGGGAGAGAGACAACCCGACGCAGGACGCCGCCACAACAATAATTTAAGCGAGATGACGATCCTTGAAATTGGATTGGTAATAAGAAAATAATAATAATACTGAAATAATTGGATACCACATGATACGTTTGTTCCCACTTTACATTAAAACAGTCTATTGAATCACCCAGAGTCTGGAAATGCAGCCGAGAGATTCAGTCGTGTTACCTATAATATATACTGGAGCAACTCATATCCAAGCACTAGGATCGTTTAAATATTCATTTATATTATAATAAGCCTTAGCCAGCAGTTTTACTTTAATGTACGATTTAAATTTATTTATTGACAACGCTTGTATCTCACTAGGGATTTTGTTGAAAAAACGTATACAATTGCCTTGGAAATAATTTATCGTTTTATGCAGCCTTCTGGTTGGTGCGCTAATTTTGTATAAATATATATTAATTATATATTGACTCCTTTCAGTACGACAAAGAATCAAATGAGGTGATAGACACCAATCCGTCATCCCTTGGTCGTGTGAGGTCAACTCTACTTGTCACTCGCAACGACGCACCGTCAGAGTATACTTGTCTTATACTCTCTGGATCCAAGACTGCTAGGGCCTCTACAGTTGTCTACAGTTCTGGTAAGACAAATTTTCAAATATGTTCGACATTTAAAATAATGTTCCATTTTTAAAATATTGGCATTTTCAAATAATATTTTCGGAACTTAAATTGGCGTTCGATTTTTAAAATATTTATTTTATTTTAGCTTTATTACGCTATGCTTAAAGTTATACTATATTTAGTTATTGTTAACTTACGCATCTATATGTTTAGATTGTTTATAGTTCGTGATAGTCACTACGCCAATGAAACGTATTGTAAGAAGAACGTTCAAACACACGATATTTTATTTATATTATTTACATAAAGATTTGTTTACGAATATAAATGCGATTTTTTTTACATAATTTACATAACTCGAGTACTTGTCAGCGACAGATTGAGATTTCTTTAAATAATGTAATAAAATTGTGGACCCGTTAAAAGAGTTATCTGGTATGTGTAAACCAAAGACAATTTTAGTTTCTATTTTTCTATCACTATGTATAGAGTATACAAAAATATCGTACAATAAAATAAAAAGCCAACCAATTATCGTGATTTGGGTCCCGTAATTCTAATTATTGCAATTTATTTTTACAGAAATCAATACTGATCTTACGGAACGATCCAAGCTGGTACCACTCTCGCCAAAAATTCTCGTCTCATACAAAGTGTTCGTTGACATCATCGGCAGTAACATCGTGTTGCCATGTCGCGTGAAAGGACATCCCCGACCAATAGTTACGTGGACTGATAATAATGGGGAATCTGTGAAAAAGAATCCAGGCATGAAAGTAAGAATATTTTTGTCACTATTTTATTTTTGTCAAAAAAGGCCTAGTTCGTCTTTAAGTTGTATAGAAATCGAGAAACATTTCAACGTAACAATATCCACGATAATAATAAGAAAACATTTTTAGGTCCTTCGATCCGGAGAGCTAGTAATATCTCAGCTGCGCTGGAGTGACATGGGTGAGTTCACGTGCCGCGCAAAAAATCTCTTTGGATCAGCTGAAGCCAAAACTTTTGTCTATCCGGCTCGGGTATGTATTATTATTGGTTTATTTAGCAGTTGACCGTAATATAAGTTGTAGTAAATGGTTCAAATATTAACTTATGGAAGCAGGTGAACAGTTCCTTTAACTGAAGAGAACCCTTGACCAGTCTAATCCCTGACAGCTCTGAAGGTCCCAGTGGTCGAGAATTTGCATATATCCTTAACCGGAATAACTTCGTTAGCGCGTTTCCGGGTATGACGTCATCGCAGTGATTTGTAAGCGCAGATTGTAGGTGTCGCTACAAACTATTTAACAATATTTGTTATTGTACTGAACTGCGTTAGCCTTAAAAAGGATCAGCAGAAAAAACAGTCTATTTGCAGCCTTTTAACCTGTCTCTTTTCTTCACTACGTCAACACAGTTTGACGGAAAGAGATGAAGGAGTACTTAACTATCAGTAACAAACAAAAGAGTTTAAATATTTTTGATCTATGGCTTCAGAGTGCGACTCTCGTCCCTGAGGTCGTAGGTTCGACCCCCGGCTGGGGACCAATAGAGAGTCTATAAGAGCGCAACACTCGCTCGTACGGTGAAGGAAAACATCTATAAAAAAGTAAGGAGTCATGCCCTAGACTCAAAAAGTCGACGGCGTGTTAGGTGTAGAAGGCTGATCTACTTGCCTATTAAAACAAACAAATGATCACAAAATAGATACAGAAATATGACACCTAGACCTAAAGAGTTGTAGCGCCACTTTTTTTTTTTTTTAAATCTCATAGTATATTTTCTAGGCGTCAAATTGCTTAAAATCTAAGCTAATGTTTAAATGACATTTCAGATATATTAATTTGAACTTTCTTTTTCAGCCGAACGACACAGACGGCTAGACATTGGAATAAAATCAGCCACGACACAAATTACTTAATGAATGTTCCTGTTTTGTAAAGGCTCTTCACACTTATGAGACGATATTATTTATTTTTATTAATATTGGAATAAACAGTTTTATTGTAATTCATAATTTTATAAACATGCAATGCGACTATTTTTAATTATTGAAACTACAATCAAAAAGTTTATTTTCAATATTCGATGTATTGAATAAGTATTATTTTAGTATTATATTGTTAACAACCGGACCAGAGGCTTGTGTGAAGATGCCCCAATCGCCTATTTTTTACATTTTTGTTATAAACGATCATTATAAAGTTTTATTTAAATGTGATCTAAATACTTATGTAGAACTGTGATTTAATAAATTCATTTAAACAGTTTATTTTTATTTTTTTCCCCCTTTTTTTTTTTTAAAAAAAAAAAAATTTTAAAAAAAAAACCCCCCCTTTTTTTTTTTTGGGGGGGGGAAAAAAAAAAGGCGGGGGGGGTAAAAAAAAAAATTTTTTTTTTTTTTTTTTTTCCCCCTTTAAACTATTTTTTATAGTGCCATACTGTATTCGTTAATAATCTTAATATATATAAATTACGTGTCACGTTGTTTGTCCGCTATGGACTCCTAAACTACCGAACCGATATCAATCAAATTTGCACACCGTGTGTAGTTTCATCCAACTTAAAAGATAGGATAGCTTACATCTCAATTTATACCCGCAATATTATTTTATTGCAAAATATTTGTTTATTATTTGATAGTCAAAATTCAGGTTGTTGAAAGTACCAACGTTTCACATAAGCTATAATTTAATGGCATAACCACCAAAAAAGCATGGTGGTCCCCATGACTGGTGTTCTCCTACCGTATCCCTTGAATAGTTTGCTGCTATGTAATAAACAAAAAAAGCCACCCCTGGGCGGCCTGGCCTGCCTAATATATATTGTAATCGGGTTTGTTTGGGTAACTCTAGAACGGCTGACTGGACTGATTCTCACTGTTTTGCATTTGTCTCCGTTTCGAATAGAAGAATATTTATTTAACAAAAAACAAAAATCTAACAAAAAAGTTTCGTTGCGTTTCGCAACTGTCAAACATTTAGCATCACGTCGATAAGGAAAATTCTCTATTCAAATTAAAGAACGTATATTATAACGGTTTTTAATCGACAAGATATAACCAATATATTTGAATAGTGGCGTAATTTAGATTAAAAATGTAGAATAATGTCAGTAATGGCAAAGGATTGATATATGTATTTATTTTGTGTAAACTAAGGAAAATATAATACTTATAGCTACTTAAATACAACAAAGGACAAATGAACAAATGATTTAATTAAAAAAACGTCAATTGCTCTCATTGGATCTTTTCAGATTATACTTTCAACCTAGTCCTTTCAGCTAATCTGTAATACGATTTATTGTTAGGCGATACGAAGTTCAAGTTAATGATAATATCCAAATGACAAACTTAATTTTTCTCTATCCTTGTATTGCAATCGACAAGGATATATACCGGGTTCGCAGATTTTATCGATGTTCGCTTATTACGCACTAGATGGCGCACGATATGCGCATAACTCAGTATATTCCCATTATCGTAGAAATAATTAAATTATATTTAACTTATATAAATTTATACACATACAGCAACTGCAAAACATAAACTGCTATCTGGTAATAGATGGCGGTAATAGCAATAGTTATAAATAAATGGTAATATGTATTTTGATTAAATAATGAAATGCCACCCATACCTATTCGTCGTCAGTCGTTCTATGACGTGTTTTAATTCATTTTTGCACAACACTGCTACGTCATACCAGCTGCCACTCGAGGTGTTTCCGAACCAATTTGACTTAGCATCCTTCAAGAAAAGGGTGTACCAATTTTAAAAGGGCCGGCAACGCACTTTCGAGCCCTCCGCTCAGATCCGGCCACCCATCGACACTCAACTGTGTCCATAGGTGGATATATCACCTATGGACACAGTTGAGCCGTTTTCCCCCAGTTCTATAAAAAATCTCTTTTCATTATCTACAACTTTATTGACATAAGAAAAGAATCGACTCTGCGTCTATCTACATCTTAGTTGTTATTTTGCCATTAACTTTTTTTTAAAACTTGATTTAATTACTTTACTCATTAGGTAGCCCTGCATTCGAATTGCTAAGTTTTTTTTCAAAAGGTACTTTTAATGTAATATTTGACATATAGAGGTCGTATATGACATATAGAGGATCATATGGTCGGTATTCGTATTTCAATCGCTTTATATATCTTATTTAAATTTGTGAGAGATAACTATGAAAAATATAACTCTATGCTTGGATAAAAACTTTTAACAGTGTTCAGTCTGAAATTTAACAATGATAATAATTTAAAACGTTATGGTGGTACAATCGAAAGTTCGCGTATTCTGCCACACATAATGGCGTGAAAATTTGACGTACAATGAGATTTTTACTTAGAAACAAACATTATATACAAACATTATGAGTCATATCAATTAATCAATTCTTATATTATTTGTATTGATAAAATATCACGTTGTTTGTTTAGTGTATGCATAAATAGTCAAGATGTAATTGGTAAGCTGTTTGACCCGAATAGAAGTTGTGAATTATGCTGTCAGAGAACATTTATGATTAATTGGGCTGACTTCGGCCTAATAGTTCACAAATCGATCATTTATGGATTTCATCTGTTCTGACTTAGGAAAAGTACACGGAATATTTGGTACAAACATTCATTTATTTAAAACATCTTACCATACTATCAGCTTTTTGTCGGTCATAATGCCTACTGAACTACTGAAATTATTTTACTTCGTAGAAACTTAGAAATTAGCGATTATTCAAATTCAAATTCAAAAATCTTTAATCATATTGTAACCTTTTACCTTTGACTTGTCTGTAAAGAAATACATATAAATGCTTCTAATTTTACATTTAGTGCCAGTTCTCAAATCAAGGGCGTAACAGAGAGAAGAACTGGATAACTCTCCCACTCTTTTATCCATTTCTTTTTTTTACACAACTTTGTAAGGACTCAACCATTAAACCATGTTCCACATGACATCTTAAGTAATTAATAATAATAACATAAATTAAAAAAAAGAGTTGTCCCCTCTATCAGCAGACATGGTGATGGCCCCTTCATCTCGTGGGACACACCAAACCTTCAATACTAACATCACCGCATAAACAATTCAAGTCACCATCACCACAATAGCACCCGTTACGAGTATGACGCATGGCCACCATCCCCCTCGCCATATTTTAGGGAGACAACCCAGCGCGACGCCGCCCCAATGACATTTAAGCGAGCTACGATCCTTAAATGTGGACTTGGCTACATAAGAAAATAATAATAATACTGAAATATTGGATACCAAATGATCACTTTGTTCCCACTTTACATTAAAACGTCGTGGATATTGACGATCGCCCCAGAGTCTGGAAATGCAGCCGAGAGATTCAGTCGTGTTACCTATATATACTGGAGCAACTCATACCCAAGCACTAGGATCGTTTAAATATTCATTTATATTATAATAAGCCTTAGCAAGCAGTTTTACTTTAATGTACGATTTAAATTTATTTATTGACAACGCTTGTATCTCACTAGGGATTTTGTTGAAAAAACGTATACAATTGCCTTGGAAAGAATTACTCGTCTTTATGCAGCCTTCTGGTTGGTGCGCAAATTTTGTCTTTATTACGAGTACTATAATTATGGAAGCTACTATTCTTTTTAAAGATATCTATATTTATCCGCACATACAAAATATTTTCATAAATGTATTGACTTGCCAGAGTCAAAATATGTAATTCCCTTTAAACTTGCTTCGACCGACAATTCACAGATCGCTCTTATAGCCCGCTTTTGCACTACAAATATCGATTTAATGTCAGCTGCATTACCCCAAAATAACACCATATGACATAAGGGTTGATTAAAAAGAGTGGCGGAAAGTTTATTGTCAGTTGATCTTGCCCGGTCTACGCCCTTGACATGCGAACTGGTAGTAAAAAAAATGTAAATTTACAATTAATTTAACTTCTTTTCTGACGTTCATAAGTGTACTTGTTTAGCTATATGAATAAAGTTATTTTGAGTTTGAGTTTTAAAGCTAGCCATTGATTTTAATATATGTATTTATTTATTAACACTTTTGCAGAAATATTGACAAAAGTTAAATGAAAAGGAGGGCAACTAGCGGCCTTATCGCTTAAGAGCGATCTAATCCAGGCAACTCAAAAAATAGGAATTTCTTTCGGATATTAAAAAAAGAACTATGCAAAATCATACTAAAACTGTAGCTGTTGGATGGTACAGAGAACCAACGCTAATTGAATGTACCATACATGTAGTTAAATACCATTCGTATAGTTAGTCAACTAGTAAGAGCTTTGTGCTTTTACGAACTAAATATGGGTTAACAGCTTAGTTGATTAATGCTATAAGAAATATAAGCAGCTCGTAACAGCTTATTTAAGTGCCAATTGCCATGGAATCGTGCTCAACAATTATTGCTTTATCACGTAATTACACAAATAGTGTACACACAAACGAATGATGTTGAAAGTGAAAATTTACAAACGTTAAGTGAAGATTTAGTTGACATTTTTTTTAAGGTCCCAGAACCTCGAAAACCCCAAATTAATAGGACAAGTTTTATCCATGCATGAACCGCAGTTTAATATACTTTCACATATTCTGGGCTCGATTCCTAGTGAATTGGTCTACTTAGGAATATATAATACTAACAGACTGTACTGTGAGATGGATGTTGTCCAGCCTTGCGATTCTGTAACTCACTTTTCGTACTCTCTCAGCGGTTTTCACAGCGGCGGTCGCGCTCAAATCAGTCGTAAAGCAGTCATTTTACGATTTGCCATTCTGATAAAGAGGGAGCTTGTAGTTTATTGTTTATCAGTATGCCAAATCGTAAAATTCAGCGACCGCCGCTGCGAAAACCGCTGTGAGAGTTCGA